ACATTTGACCCCTGTGACCTTGAAAGTGGGTCAAGGTCATTTTCATTCTCAAACTTTGTTGGGCTCTATCCCAGAAAGCCATCAGCCAAATATGAAGATTCTATACCTTTCAGTTTTTCAGAAGAAGTCGTTTGAAGTGTTTGACACATTTGACCCCTGTGACCTTGAAAGTGGGTCAAGGTCATTTTCATTCTCAAACTTTGTTGGGCTCTATCCCAGGAAGCCATCAGCCAAATATAAAGATTCTATACCTTTCAGTTCTTCAGAAGAAGTTGTTTGAAATTTTTGACATATTTGACCCCTGTGACCTTGAAAACAGGTCAAGGTCATTTTCGTTCTCAAACTTTGCAGGGCTCCTATCAATGAAGCTTTCAGCCAAATATCATGACTCTAGGCCTGTCCGTTCTTCAGAAGAAGTTGTTTAAAGGAAAAGTTGACAGACGAGGATGGACGGACGGACGCCGCACCATGACATAAGCTCACTTGCCCTTCGGGCAGGTGAGTTAAAAATGTAGGAGAAAATCTTCAGACATAAAATCAAATACTGAAATGAACAAAGGGCAATAACTTTTGGAAAAAGTGTTGAATCAAAATTCTTTTAAGGGAGACCCAACTTCATATCATGATTATCATGTATACCAAGTTTCAAAGAGATCGGTCGAAAAATGTAGGAGGTGATTGCCAGACAAAGTAAGTTTACGCCGGACGGATGGACGGACGGACGGACGGACGGACAACGCCATACCATAATACTACTGTCAAATTTGACGGTCATATAAAAATGAAATACTTCATTCCTAGTAATGTATTTATTCATCAAAATTCATCAATGAAGATAGATTGTAATACAAAACATCTCCCTGTATTGGACCTAAAAAGCAGCACCCTCAAGCTTCCAAAATTCTTAAAATGCTGTATCAATAGACACCTTTTTATAAAGTAACAAACAAGATCAGTAAATCATAGTGAAGGGATTCTGGATGTTATATATATATATATATATGTGGAACTGATCATGATAAGCAGATCAGAGACCACAGATATAGAAGCTAATTATAAATCTCACAAAGTTGTGCAAATCTGTCAAGCATTTTGCAATTATGTATCCATAAGATAATTAACCTGAGCATGAACTATTAGGGTCACTCGGGTTGTGAAGACAGATTTTCAGAGTGTGACTGTTATATATTTACTTTCAGACTATTTTTTTATTTATAAAAAGAAAACCAACTTTAGGAAGTTTTTCATTTGAAAAGGGCATATACAAGGTGCACATTCTCCTGGAACAATATAAAAGAAGGACACAGCATCAAAGGAAAGGTTCTGGTGCAGCATGTCAATATTATTTATAAATTCATTTATATACGAAAGAACTTTTGAAAACTAAAAATTACAGTAATGAACTTTTCAAGGGGTCAGTGAAACAAATATCCCCACATTTCAAGGCCATCTAATTAATCTGTTCATGATTTTTATAAAATCCCAAATTACAGATAATAATATAATAATATCCTAACTTACTTTACACATAGCACAAAGTCGCCTTTTATAGATTGGCTATCTCGAACTAGGAACTCTCCTCCTGATTGAGTTGGCTGTAAAATCTCGTTGGCTTCCTCGCGATTTAGTGGACCAAAATACCAACTGAAAAAAGAAAAGAAAAGCTTAGCTGTAAAATAAATGTGATATCAATGAATATATATATGTAATCATAGTTCCCATTACATTAGTATCAACTTCATTAACGTTTTGAATACTCAACATATCTCTTTGTAAATGGGACTAATCAACATTTTGAAAAGGATGTTCAGGACTTGCTTGAAAAAATCCTACAAAACTCACAAGCTCATGTTTGTATATATAAAGGTGGTAGATTTAAATTTAACAAGAGGCCAAGAGGGCCTGTATCACTCACCTGAATATGTAAGCAGTCAAAGCAAAATATTCTAATTAAATATAACATTGCACTACAAATATTTCCCTCACAAACTTTGTTGGCTCCATCTGTTGAAACTACCAGCCAAATATTATTATAAGATTTTTTGGTTTTTGGTTTTTCTTCAGAAGTAACTTGACATTTTTTCCTCTGTGACCTGTGCAATTGTAAGTAGGTCAATGTCATTTTCCTTCTCATACTTTGTTAGCTCTATCCCAAAAAGATACCAGTCAAATCTTATGAATCCATTCATTTTGGTTCTTAAGAACAAATCCTTTAAAATGTTGTTGACCTCTGTGACCTTTAAGGTAGGTTGAGGTCATTTTCATTCGCAAACTTTGGTGAGCTCTATCCCAGGAAGCCACCAGTCAAATATTATAATTTTATGCCTTCAATTATTCAGAAAAAGTCGTTTGATGTTTTAGACATATTTAACACCGTACCTGTGACCTTGAAAGAAGGTCAAGGTCATTTTCATTCTCAAACTTTGTTGGGCTTCATTCCAGGAAGCCACCAGCCAAATATGAAGATTCTATACCTTTTAGTTCTTCAGAAGAAGTCGTTTTGAAACATTCGACCACAGCTGTGACCTTGAAAGTAGGTCAAGGTCATTTTCATATCAAAATTTGTTGAAAGAGTGTGACATATTTGACAGCTGTGACCTTGAAAGTAGGTCAAAATCGGGAGTCTTCCTCCAAAATAGAGAGAGTTGACAAACTTGTATGAGTACATGTACAGTATGCGACACTCTTTCTTCACAAGACATGCAAGTATAGATGAAATTAAGGTATGCTCCTGGGGCACCGGGCAGACAAACTTTATATATATTTTTAAAAATAAATGAAGGGCCATTATAATTACTCTGCTCAAGACTGATGGCGCATGGATATTCTTTACTAGACCCATGCATCCTTGACAAGACATGTAATTATAGTACACTACATATCCGGTTTGAGAAAGGCTATAATAGTTGATATCATGCATGATCAATACTCTGCATATATAGTTTCCAAAACTATGAATAACAAATTAAAAGATATTTGAAATAGAAATGCACTAATAGTACTTACACAGTCAAAATTACACAACTTGGTTCAAGTAATTTCTGTAGGAACTCCATCTAAATCAGAGATTTATAACGATATCTATCGTTGTAAATTTCTGATTTAGATGGAGTTCCTACAGGAATTAATGCTATATATATGTGTTCCATTAAAAAGAAACACACATATATATATCCCATTAAATAGACATCTATAACTAAAAGATATAACCTCTGTGCTGCCATAGTATATTTTGTTTTTATAACTACTCCAATAAAATATCTGCAAGATGTTCCGGATATTTTCATGATTAATGACATACAGCACATGATTGATTATTGAGTCAACACTGATATATATATATACAACATTCATAAAATGAAACCATGTCCTACCCCAAATAAATGGCAAATATACATGGTTGTCTGTTAGATTTTCTTCCATGATAAGACATTTATTCCATTGAACAATAAATTGATTATTATTGTGTGAAGCGTGAAGTTTGACCGTCAGACTGCAGACAACTATATATGATACCTTATTACCTATAACTTATATCTAAATGCATCCTATGCAAAGGCCGTTGGCCAAGTTGACGCAAATTTTTGCAAGTGATTAATATACAGCCACGACAAATAAGCACATAACTTAAAGAGGATCCAGGAGTTATGGCATTTCCGAGCATAAAAGACATTAAAATTTTTATTTTCTTTCAAATTACTGTTGAAAGTTGAACTTGTGAATCACGACGTGTGTCATAAAAACAGTGGACAAACAAATAGTGTTTAGTATAGTATTTGTAAACAATACCTATATTTATCGTCCGGATCAAACCCCGCCATCGTGACAAAATGTCGATACTTGGAGCTTAAACCATAAGTCGTACGTTGTTTACTTTTTTACTCAATCCAGGAAGTTCAGAAAGTAACATCCACTTATAAATATGGCGGAACCGACTCATAATCTTTAACAAAAATGAATATTTCATTTAGTGGTATCACGGCATTAACTGGCCCGTAAAAGTAAGTTTATAAAACATATAGATTAATAAAAAACAACTTTATGAAATAAAATTTGCTTTAATATCTCTGTATATCCACAACAATAGATTTTATTCTCTGTTAGAGAATATTACTGTTAATGGCGGCGCCCATGTGCCGAAAATGGCGGCAATATATAACAAATTTGTTATTGTAATTTTGACATTATTTGTCGCTATTGTTATTATTTCTTCCACACAAGGTGCTCGCCTAAGTGATCCCAAGATATTGCTGCCGTACCATAGTACTGTAGTTACGAATTTCACGCTACAAATCAATATAACCAAGGAGGAATTGCACGTGCACGACAGTTGTTACACATGGTATGTTTACGAGTCTAACTGATAATTTCCTGGCTTCCTCAATTGCTAAAGAAATATTATGCAGCTGATTTAAGGTTGTACCTCGATATCATTGATATAGCTCTGTGTTTGTATTTAACACGGCTTTTATAAATGATCCTTACAATGTACAGCATACTACATACCAAACAACCAACATTCAACAACAAAGACGAAACGACAAAACTACAAGCAGATTTAGATGCAGCTAGTAAATGGAAAGAGGACTGCCTCCTGAAATTCCACCCAGACAAATGCACCATACTCACCATTGTATCACCAAAACGCACACAAATTAAACACCAATACACGTTCCATGACCACACACTAGAATATGTAACTTCAAACAAATATCTAGGCATCACACTTCAAAACAACTTAAAATGGGACAAACACATTAACAACATCACATCAAATGCAAATCAATCACTAGGCTTTCTAAAACGAAACCTAAAAATTAATTCACCGCACATAAAAGAACATGCGTAGTACAAGGCCATTGTAAGACCCAAACTTGAATACTGCTCTTCAGTTTGGGACCCACATTATACAAATAACATAAATCAATTAAAAAAGTACAACGAAGAGCAGCACGATATGTCCTAAACAAATACTATAACACAAGCTCAGTCTCAGATATCATACACAACTTGCAATGGCCAACACAACACATACAGAACAAGAACATGCATTATTATTCTCTACAAAACACCAACAAGTAGCAATGCACACTAACAATCTCATCCCGGCAGACACCAGAACAGGTCAAGGACACTACCTGTTTTTATCCTATAGCAAATAACAAAGATTTGAAAAAAAATCTCGCTGTACATAATAATTAAGCACTACAGCACAAGACAGACTTCCATAATCGTCGGTATCGACGGAGGAAGGAAAAATTATGAAGATGAATATACCGTTCATTTATTCTCTCAAATTTTAATTTCTGTCCGCTAACATGGCACTTTTGCGGCGAGACAAACACACAAAAAATGGTAAAAATCCAAGAAAGGGCTTTAAAATTTATTTACAATGAACACGAAAATACATATGAAAATTTAATAGCCTGTTCAAAATTACCATCAGACAACTCAGAAATTTTGCAATAGAAGTATTTAAAATCACAAATAAACAGACGCCAACATACCTACACCTTATCAACATCACAGAAAAATCATACACATTCAGATATCACAACACAGCAGACATATACCAAAAAGGACTACAAATTAAAGTATGGTAAACACTCATTTCGATCAGAAGCACCTAAAATATGGAATGCCCTACCAGACCACTTCAGAATAACAACTACACTAACATGGTTAGTTGGTTGGTTGAAGGGTTTTTCGCCTACATGATTCCACCCTCACAGACACTAATAAACAGCTGGTATGGGCCAAAATGCAAATACAACAAATGCAGACAAAACACATAGGCTCACAATACAGTTTTTACAACATGTTTTTAGCTAAAGCTTGCCTCTACTTTTGTTTTGCTAAATATTTATGTGTAACTGTGCATGTCTTTTATGTGTCGGTTTTAATAGCTCATTAGAGCTAATGTTATATTGTTTTTAACCATACCGAAGTTAAATAATACTTTTGATTTGATCTTACACAGGCGATCAACACAGCAGGAGGTGGCAACGGTTCAACTGGTAAACAGTACAGACGGAGAGTGTGCCTTCTCAGCAGTTATATCGGCTGTCTCAAAATCTTCCCACAGAAAAACTTCCATTGTTTTGGCAGAGAACAAAGGTATTTAAATGGGGTCTGTAGATAATTACATTTGCCTAAACAGGTTGGATATGTGGCAGATTTTAATTGTGCATACGATTAAGGTCGCTTTCTAGCTTTGAAGCTAGAGGGAATTTCCCTTTAGCTTAGTGGTAGAGCATCCAACTAGAAACCTGGAGATCAAGGGTTCGATTCCTGGTGGAAGCACAAGGGATTTAATCTTCATTTTGGATAAACAGACTGTAGATACTGATCACATAAAAAATCTATTAATTGATTGGGAAATCAAGTGAAAAACAAATACATTGATTTCTTTTTAACGATAGTAACCAAAATTCTTTCATCATGACCCCATAAAATAAAGTACATTTAATTTGTACACAACAAATTGATTGATTTTGATGTCTATCTTTTTGTAAAAATGACAAATTGTTTCACCTTCATTTCTTATAATAAAGTGTACACTGTACAGAATTCACTACAGTAGATAATTATAACTGTTCCATGCTCACCTGTCACTTGCAAATTTGACGCCCTCAGTCTGACTTCATATCATGATTTGTAAGTTTCACAAAAAGATGAATAGGAATTCTCTCAACTTAACAACATTGTCTCACATTTGCAAAATTCCTTTTGTTTGTTTTGTTTAAATGTTTAAATGCACTTCAGTGCAATCTCCTTTCACTTTTAAAATAAACAAACTGTTAAGAAAAGAAACAACTAATGGATGAAAAGCTCTTGTGTTTGACATTTTTCACAAGGTTGAAGCCTCAGAAAGTTTGACAGATCATGATCAGAAGCCATTAATATAATTTAACCTGTAAACATAAACCAACATGTAGGAAATTTACAGTGAAAGTACAGGTGAAGTGCATTCATGAATCATGATACACAATCTACGAGCTCGCAAATTTGAGACAGTCGGGGAGTGTACATACCCAACCTGTATAAATACAAGGTTCCGTATAGATTCGGTTTCTTTCAGCCAGTACTGATAAGATTATTATTAAAAAAATGCAGCTGTAAGTTTGGTTTAGTTTGATAATTAATTTTCAGTCAGCAGATTTGTTGTTTTAATAGCTAGAGATACAATTTCTAAACCAATTTTTTACTTCATTTATTTGTAACAAATTTAAAAAGTATGTATTTCCTGATATAATTATATTATCCGAGATTATTTTAGCATAATGATTAATCACTTTCCTTATTATGTGATTTATGTTAAGTTTTAATGTTGTTGCTATGTCAAATCTATGAAATTAATTGTGAAAATATTTTGCAGTCACTCGTGAAGTATTGAGGTGTATTGTGATTGTGGAATCTCTACATCGGTTTGAGATCCAGACTACTACTCGCTTGCTCTACCTCGAAGACTCACCAGAGGAGCTTACCATCCGAGGCTTTGATGAAGAAGGTGACAATGTTTAACGGAATTACAATATATAGATTAATGTGAGAAAGCATGGTCATACACTATTAACGACTATACAAACATGCCTTGACAACAGGCAAGGTAACCCTGATAAAACCTATATCCTGAAAGGACCTCCCCATGAACACCTACCTGGTATATGATCTAAAATTGTATCTACCCAGATTGACTATATGTATATTATTCTATTATGGCCCTTTCCCAAGGGAACTGTTCTCTTATAGTGTTGTCTGGGGTGGCACTATACCTCCGCAGACAACACTATAAGAGTGCTGTTTCCGAGGGAAAGTGTCATAATAGATTTAGTACATCACATGACTGTCATTTGACAATAAAAAGACAAACATGAGGAACTTCATTGATAACATATTTAATAATTAACAACAGCTGGAAATTTGAACGTAACATTTGAAGTTTTGATTCATGAGTTGTTGTTAATTGTAACAGTACAATTGCTAAAATTGAAAGAAGATGCACAAACAACGGAATGTCGAAATCTCTGCCACATGTTGGTTCTTGTAAATGCCGCCGCAAACCTTGTCTGATGGCAATAACTTTTTGAGTAGATCTCTCCTTTTTTGTTGCGTATATTGGCATTCCAGTAGGAAGTCTTTAAGGACTGCGACGGCAAATTGTGTCGCCTGGTTCGTCTTTATGCATTGCTGAGCCTCAGCGAAGCAATCGGCATTCCCGGTCGCGAATCTCGAAGCCATTTTGGCAGACGACAACAATGAAGTGAAAGTAGAATATGTACAGCGCTCCCTAGGAGAAGGGGCGCAACTCTTAGCGTCACCCTACTTTTCCTGTAGTCTCGGCGGTCCAAAAAAACGTATAGTGCCCGTCTCCAGGTATAGTTCCCGTCGTCAAGGGCAGATGCCAAATAGAACAAGGGTAGTTATCCAATAGCTATCCTAGAAATTATCATGTGATGTACTAAATATATATAGTTGCATGTGGGCCTGATAGACCAGTCCATGATATAAAAAAAATGTGTTTCCTTGAACCAACGATATCTGCATTTTTGTGCTCACCCTACAGTTTTTATTGACAATTTCAAGGAGTGGCTTGCAAAGATTTCCTGCTTCATATAACCGATGAAAAAACTCATATAATATAAGGTATCTCTGACTTACCTTTCCTAATTATCATAACATTTACCGGTTTTACTCTAGCAAACTCCCCCCCCAAAAATCTCACTAATTTTTTTTTCACTAGTCTCACTATTTTGCACTGGAAAGTTATGGCATGTATGTTAAGGCCGGAAGTATGTACTCTTGTTATTAGGTGAAGATAGCTGCATACTGTAGTTTCATATTTGTCTATAAACTACACAATATATTTACCAAAGTTTTGATATTCCAATTATAATCGATTAATCGTTCATGACAAGTCTTCCGATAATCGATTATAATATCTGATCCGATTCCCAACACCAGTACATATGTACATAAGAATTGTAAAACTTTTTTTTTCTGGGTTGTTAGCGTTAACACATAAAAAAAAAATCCTTTTTTTTCCCCTTGCCAAAAGCTTATAGAATCCACCCTATTGGAATTATACAAACACATTTTAACAAAAATCTCCTTTTGTGGTGTACTTATGCCATGTATCTAGTTTTTCTCTGTGGCCAAAATTAAAGGTTGCAAGTATTTTGCTTTCGCAATAAACCCTTTTGTGATGAAGTTTGTTTTGCACTTTACAGGAAATGTCTTCTCCAGTCTGGCAGGCCTGCGATTTGAGTGGAGCCTTGAGTCTGACACCTCAGCTGACCAGGATACAGTCATTGATGCCAGCAATATTCTCCGGTAGCTATAGGAACACACACTACATTCTGGACATCCATAGCATGCACAGAAAAGGCCTTAGTGACAATAACACAATCAGTTATTTTGTTCTATCATTGTCTCTAAACATGTTATACTTAGGGATGATCATGGAAGATAAGAAAACCCTTTTCTCAGACTATTTTTCAAAATTCATGACTGATCGATCTGGTTATCTTGAACTCAAATGAATTTGATCTTTCATTTCATTTCATACAGACAAATGAGTTATGATCTATATACATAATTTATATGTTATATATGAACACAGTTAACAAACTTTTTTCCTGAACCCCTCATTAATAAATCAGATGGAATCTTTAAAGTTGTGTAGACAATTTGAAGTATTTGCAACATTTAATGATAACTCTGACATGCTTCTTTCGTTTACTTATTTTTTATTGTAGATATTGTTATTTTCATGTTAATATGTGAGGAGAGGCGATCGAGGATTTAAACATCACACAAATATTAATTCAAGCACAGTTGATCAATGAATCTGTATCAATTGTTTTATCTTTTCTTAATTTCAAATTCTAGCAAATATGCTGTTTGATGAACAATTGTGAAAACAGTGTATTAACAAAAAAATAACAATTCAGTTTTTCTATGGATTGGTATCACATTTCAAAAATTGTAAAATTTGTACATACCGGTATAAATACCAATATGTTAAAATTATGAATCGTATTCTGCACTGAGTCATTTAATCCTAAAAATTCAATATGCAAATATGCTGAAATTTTACTCTTTATTGACTGTAATGGAAATAAATAAAATGGTTCCTATAAAAAAAATAAAAAAAATAAAGCAAATTTAATTTAGTGGTATTACTCTGTTTCAGAATCATTAAGTTTTCAGAGTCACATTACACCCGACCAGCCTACATCGACAGATTGGAGGGACGGGGCCTGCAAGGAGACATGATCTTGGTGGAGGGTATACGTACAGGCAGTGCCAATGTCAAGTCCGTCATACGTGATCGAGCCTACAAGGTCTGTTGTGACTAGGGTGATGAAAATGTCAGGTCTACATGTAACCATGTGTGACTAGGGTAAACCTGGTGTCAAGTCTATGTAACAAAGTCTGACTAGGGTAAAGACAATGTCAAGTCTGTATGTAACCATGTGTGACTAGGGTAAACCTGGTGTCAAGTCTATGTAACAAAGTCTGCAAAGTCTTTTGTGACTAGGGTAATGCCAATGTCAAGTCTGTATGTAACCATGTGTGACTAAGGTAAACCTGGTGTCAAGTCTTTGTAACAAAGTCTGCAAGGTCTGTTGTGTCTAGGGTAATGACAATGTCAGGTCTACATGTAACCTTTTATGACTAGGGTAAACCTGGTGTCAAGTCTATATAACAAAGTCTGCAAGGTCTGTTGTGTCTAGGGTAATGACAATGTCGGGTCTACATGTAACCTTTTGTGACTAGGGTAAACCTGATGTCAAGTCTATATAACAAAGTCTGCAAGGTCTGTTGTGACTAGGGTGATGACAATGTCAGGTCTACATGGAACCATGTGTGACTAGGGTAAACCTGGTGTCAAGACTATGTAACAAAGTCTGCAAGGTCTGTTGTGACTAGGGTAATGCCAATGTCAAGTATGTATGTAGCCATGAGTGACTACGGTAAACCTGGTGTCAAGTCTTTGAAACAAAGTCTGCAAGGTCTGTTGTGACTAGGGTAATGACAATGTCAGGTCTACATGTAACCTTTTGTGACTAGGGTAAACCTGATGTCAAGTCTACATGTAACCATGCCAACAAGGGCTGTTGTGATTAGGGTAATGACAATGTCAATTCCATGTGTTACCTTCATAAAAGGTTTGTTATATATTGCTATGGATTTTATAGATGTATGTAGTGTTTATAAATTACAAAATACAGAACAATCAGTAACCAAACAGAACTAAACAAACCATACCTTGTTCAGGGTTGTAAAAATCCACTTGTTGGATGCCCCAGATAACCAGTTGTCAGATCCAGGCAAGTGTAGTTTGTTGACTGACTTGCCCGGGGTAAGTATGCTTTAAGTTTGCATCTGTGTAAGTTATTTCTCTTTTGCACAATGTTTACAAATTCTGAAATTTGGTTGTAAGATTCCAAAAAGAATTGAAATGCTGTGATAAGTGTTTTAAATTTTAAGTTACAACAAGATTGGTTCCTAATCACTTTAACAGTATGATGGAAAGACAATGTACTATTTTTATTCCTGTTGGAATTTTGTTTCTATGACTTTTTTTCCCCAGAATGTTGTGCCTTCTGTGGTGAAGATTATGGTCATTGCAAACCTTATGGTCAGTCCAGCTGAAGCCTATGTCCTCAAATACTCCACTGTGAGATACACCGTCGAGCTTATCAAACAGAATTCAATCATCGGTAAGTCAGTCTTAATCATTGGTAAGTCAGTCTTAATCATTGGTAATTCAGTCTAAATCATTGGTAAGTCAGTCTAAATCATTGGTAAGTCAGTCTGACATGGGGTGTAAAACTCCATTTGGTGCCCGACGCCTGGGACAACCAGTTTTAGTGCCCGGGCAAGGGCGTTAAAATAGTACAAAAACATGTTTTTGCACATATGATTCTCCATTTCCCCAAATAAATAACTAACTTAACTGGCTGTATTTTAGTGGAAAACATTCAAACAATTACAACAACGAAAATTCACAAAACAACTTCATTCTTCGTATAGAGGGAAACAAGGGTATTAAAGTATCGGTGTACCATGGAAACAAGGATATTAAAGTATTGGTGTACCATGGAAACAAGGATATTAAAGTATCTGTGTACCATGGAAACAAGGATATTAAAGTATTGGTGTACCATGGAAACAAGGGAATTAAAGTATTTGTGTACTAAGGAAACAGATATGTTTTATACATGTACAATGAAATATACTCTTTATTTGGCAACTGACACCTAGCCAATGGCCTGTAATAATGTGTATGTTTATATATTTGACAGAGATTGCAATGCCATCAGAACAGTTTTATCTGGAAGTCCAGAACCACATGATCTGCGAGTTCAATGCCCAGACATCATTCGGTACAGCCGCAGAGCTAGGCTCCACAGAGATTGTGCTAATGGACAAAAGTATCCTTCCTGTCCTTCGATTCCCTGAACTCACAACAGTCCTATAAAGATTTGTTTTTTTTGTTAATTTTGAATGTTTAACATTTATCTAGACTGTCAAAGTTTGGTTTTTATTCACTGTCTGTTTTTAGACGTGCAGCTATTAGTATAGAGAACTATTGTAGATCAAATTTGAATTAGATTGGAATTTGGAATTTGCTAGAGACTTTATTCAAAAAATCAAAAAGTTTGAAATATTTGAAAACCTTAACCACCATAAGACATCAAGAGCCAGGACGTTTTGATGCGGCCATCTGCCATGATGTATGTTGTTACTCCAAGTCGTCTGGGTAAGTAGAGTCAAATTTACTATATAAACTGGTTAATCACAGAAACTATTTCAGGAATTCTTTAGAACTCTGTATAAATGATTGTTGTATAAGGTTGTGGATTGAACAATCCCAAACAAACTAGCATTATGACTATCAAATTGATAAATGTGATAGAAATGATTAAACAGAACGCATTTGTATTTTTTCAGCTTTTGTTATTCTGCCTCACAACAAGTGGGTTTTAGAAACTGGACGGGAATACGAGATTCTCATAGAGGTCTATGATAAAAACAGCCACAAGGTCTACCCCTCAGATGTAAGTACATGTCACAATGTCAACCTATAGAGAACCTCACAGAGGTCCTTGATACATATGGTCTACCCTAGGCCTTCTGATGTAAGTATGTGATATATATGTCACAATAAATATCTTGTTTAACATCATTTGTGTCTTCCAGTTTTAACTTATTGTATGACAGAAATATTTCTTTTAAGAATACAAACAAATATTTCTGCTTTGAATTGTTGATCGGGAAGTTTGTCATACAGGAAAAAAACATTCAAAAGAATGAATAAAAGAAAAGAGATTAAATTGATATTTGATGTTCTGCAGTGTTTTCAATCTAAAGCACCATCACATTTTATCTATTTCTTACTCCAGAATGTTATCATCAAAGCTACGTTCCCAACAGAATATTTCCAAGTTCTGTCCTCCACTAAGAATGGTACCTACCACTTGGTCAAGACCTTGGACAACGGAAAAACCATGCTAGATGGCGCCCTGACCAGTGTCATCAGAACAGTAAGTCACAACTGTATTTCATTTTGTTTGATTAAATTTCTAGAGGCAAGGATGTTAGATATGAAGACAATGGGTTTGCCATTGCATTACTGTTTCTACTGTTCTACATAGACACAGTTTGCTATGATGTTCTTTCTATTACGTGGTTGCTATGACGTGGACAAAGAAATTGAAGCAGTTAATGAAAAAGACTTGAAAGCTGTCTGGCATTGTCAAATGTATTATATTTTCTATTGGTTACCATTAATTGTACTGATCAGCTATGTTTTGCAAGATGTTCGATGTTAAATTGTGATCAGAATTGGATTGAAAAAGAAGATTTTTTTAATTTTTTTTGTTAAAAGAAGTATATTTTACTGGAGTATTGATATCACTTGTATAATTAAAAATTATATAATGATCATCAGCTAGATAATAGTATTAACAGTACAACACCAACTGATACGTCCTTATCAGGTTAAACGACGTATGACAGAGGGCTCGCACTACTATGTCTACTATGTCGAGGTAATCCAGCAAGCTTGTCATGTACCCCACGGGCTTGTCATATATATACATTGAGCTTGTCATGTACCCCACCTTGCGTCCCACCTGTTGTGGACTGAACAAGTGTGTCACAGCTGCTTCATTTAGACATTAGTTGATGAAACATTACTGCATTAAATGAGTTAAAGCACCTGCTGATTTTAATTCAAGAGATATATGTAAACTTAAGATTTTTAGATTTTTACTGGAAACGTTTCCTTTTTTAGGTCACCTGAGACAAAGTCTCAAGTGACCTATTGCGATCGCCTTTTGTCCGTCGTCGTCCGTCGTGCGTCCATAAACAATTTACATTTTCGACTTCTTCTCCAAAACCCCTGAACCTATTTCAATGAAATTTTGCAGGGACCTTCCATGGACAAAGGTCAACAAAAATTGTGGCCGGTTAAGTCCCAAGCCCCCAGGGGCCTGAGGGGCGGGGCCAAAAAGGGTCAAATTGACTAAAATTTCAAAAATCTTCTTCTCAAGACCCACATATGGTAGAATCAAATACTCTTCATATATAGAAGGGTCTTAAGGTGCTTTACCAAAATTGTGAATTTCTTGACCCTGGGGTCTCACGTTTCCCCCTGGTGAGGGGGTAAACTTTACTATAGTTTATATAGGGAAATCACATTTTGGACCAACATTTGTTTAATTTCCATTGGAAGTAATTCAATTTGGGTTAGCATTATCAGTATTAGGTAGCAGTTTGATAGTATGCACATATGAGCCCTGACTGACCCCCAGGGGCTGATGGGTGGGGCCAAAAAGGGT